CGTGACCAAATATAGTGTTCAGCAGCTGCTGACTTAAAATATAAAATGAAATCGTTATCACGCAAACCCCCACAAATTTTCTGCTTACTCACGGGCTACTGAAAGCTCTGCGCAGGAGCGTGAGCACCGCTGGTGTGGGCCATTTCCGCAGGCCAGTTCAGCTGCAGGACTTTCAGGAAGTGGCATGACTTTTTGGTGAAAGAATGGTTCTATTATCTTCTGAAGGGTAACACAGCCACCCTTTGAAGCGTGGCCATACTTAAGGCGACAGATTTTTGTAACTTCTTTACCCTCCTTTCTGTAGTATTAAATATTTTTTACTTACGTATTCAAGTTACTTGTTTGTTTATTCTTAAGCAACATGAATTTAGCTAAGAACAAAACTGCTGGGGGCTTTTGTATTAAGCATCTGTTCTCAAACAGCCACATTTAGCCTAATGCTCTTATTTTGCTGATAGAAACTAAGTTTAGAAAGTGCTTTGCCACTGGTTTTTTTTGCCAGTGTGAGCTGTATTTCGAATGATGTTGAAAATCAAGCTGCAACTCTTTTGACAAATGGCTGATACATTCACTGATGCTGTAATTCCTTAAACTGTGGTTACTATAACGTATTGTCCATGTAAAAACCACTACAATTAATTTAGTGTTCTTTAAAGAACTACAAAGCTTACACACTGAAAAAATATGGAATATGGAGAATATATATATATTATATATAATACATCTTAACATTTTAGTCTGTTGAATGTGAGGGGAGCCCAGCATTTTAGAAAGAACCACAAAAGCTGCCTTGAATCCATGTGTTGTCTATAGCAACATTAGCTTAAAAAAAAAACCAAACCCACAACCATTTCTGAGGAAGAATGTATAATGCAGAGGAGAGTTTAACTGCCAGCTTGTATGCCAGACGTGGAAAACTGAATGTGAAAGAAGGGGATGGAGACATAGCCCTCAACTGTCTGTGGGCACCCAGAAAAATGAATACATTCTTTTCAGTTTCAGACTAGTTCTGCAATACATTGACACCGGGATCGTAGAAAACTCAGAAAGAACAGAAGGCCAGATTTTCCAAACTCTTAATACCCTGCACTGGGACAGGTTAAGTAAAGGTATAGATTTTAATGAGGTACTAGAGACAGTGGAAAGAAATCTGTATTATGAATTTCTCTGCTTCTGGGTGGGTGCCAAAATAAGGGAAGAACTGCACCTTTTAAAATTCATCCTATTTAAAACACTAGAATTTCTTTTTCTCCTAGTAGTTACTGAACTAATCTATATTATAATTTTTTAGGTTCCCTCTCAGATAATGCAGAATTATTGTTTTGGTCTGAAAGTTTCATCACTACATTTGATTTCTGATGGCAAACTAAGCCTTCTGCTCTTCCTTAGCAGCGTGGCCACTGCAGGCTGAAGTAGTTCTAACTGGTTGTAGGTATCTGAAGTTGTTGTAAATGTTTGAAGTCTTGTTGGTGTTACTCATTTATGTTGCCACTGTGTCTCCATAATGTAGATATTGTAACTTTCTCTTAAGCAGAAGGTGAAACTTTTGTACTCTTAATGGCTTAGGGAAAAAGCCCTATGAATATTTTCAGCAGCTAACATAAAAAGCACCCCTTATTTTTAACTGGAAACATATTCTGAGGCAAAGAGGAGTTAATATTTATATAGCAGGAGGGAATGAAAGATGAGTGATAATAATGTGCTGATGTATGGAAGACCTTGCTTCAGAGATGTCATACATTGATTGAGTGCTCTCTGATAATATCAACTGGCATTTAAGTAGAAAGAAGAAAATTTGCACTTTTTATTACTGATGTTTCTCGTAATTCAATGAACAGCATTTCAAAAGAAAGACATGTTTTGTTAAGAGAACTAGAAATTTTAAAGAGTGAGGCAGGTACACAAAACCCCAAATTCCATAATGCTGTCCTCTTACCATATGTAAGTGCTGCAGAAAAAAATCGCTACATGAGCTGTGTGCACCTACCTGAACAAATAAATTGTTTGTATTAAAGGCTGGGGTTTTTCATATTCATTCTGTAAATTAAATACCTCTCAGATTTCTGTATCCTACAGGAACTGGGTCATGTAGGGGGTTCACTGATATGATGTTACACACACAGATCCCCTGAGGACCTCAGTGATTTATCATGCTTGGCCTATATGAATGACTGTCAGAAACGTAACTTCCAGTTTTCACCACAGAAATGGACGAAGATGAATACTGTGGTTTTGTGGAAAGAAAACCCCGAACTTTAGAAGACCACAACAGTCAGAGGGAAACCTGAGGATGAAATGTTTGAATAGGAGCAAGAAGTCACACCAACTTTTATGATAGGAAAGAACGTTTTTGAAAGCCAGTTGTGTTATTTTTGTGGTTGCAGAAATGTGGAAACTAGAGGAAGGGTGGCACTTTCTAATGGCACTTGCTAGGAAAAGCCATGAACACCATGTGAGGTTCTATTCCCAAATTTCTAATTTGAAGGGACAAATAATAGACTGCACCTGTTTTAGTGCAGTTTGAGCTAAGAGAATAGCAGCCTTGAAGGAGTTTTAACTACAGATTTATATTACACAAACAGTAAAACCTTCTTATGTCACAACTTCCTGGGTAAATGACTTTCCCTTGGATTTGCTGTATTTCCAGTGCTCCCTGGAATAACAGATAGATAGTAATTAATTTTCTGGTATGTGAAGTGCAGATCTGGCAGGAAAGACTTTTAAAGAAAGAAGCTTGCTGTATAGACAGATTAATGCTAACGTGACAATTAAGTTGTGGTAGTGGTATGATTAACTGTAGAAACCAAAACTGAAGTAACAATCCAGACATGACTGATGACTACTGGCACCTATAAGGAAGAGAAATACATGCTCTAGAGCACTTTGATGAAATGCCAAGAATAAACTGAGACTGTTTCTTTAAACATCACACTAAATGATACAGAAGCTACTGTTCACAAATTGCTTTTGTGCTGAAAGATACATATGGCAAATGAACCCCGGGTATCCTGGAAACACAGGCTAATTTAGACTGTTTTTTAAATATCTTAATCCATAAGTAATAGGATTCTGCCACAACTGCCTTTGAGCAGAGCTTTCCCAACATTTTTTCAATGGTTAAATGGCTCAAAGAAAAGTAACATAAGTGAATGCTCTGATTTACATAATATATTGGTCTGTATATTTTTGATACCTAAAGTAGGCTGGCAGCTGTTAGTCACTAAGTATTTGTGGAAGGAAATCCACCTCCAGTTTACTGGCAGTGACCAAGGATTTTAAAGATTGAATGGACTTGAAAACTTATCTATCTTCAGTGCCAATATTTAGCACAGCTCCTATTCAGACTGAGACAGTCTAACCATGGATGGAATGAAGAAATTTCACTGTCATATCTAACAACCAGTTTCATGATACTTTTCTAAGTATTTGCTGCCAATCTGCGGGTTTCTGTAACAGCTGTACATGGCATCTATTTTCTATTACCCTTGGGAAAACTCATACTGGCAGATAATGTTAGACATCTACCTATACAAGCTTGAGGATGGTCATAAAGCAGTCTTCTAACAGTGAGGAACTGTACTCAGAAACACACCATTTTCCTCTTATTAATGGTTGTCTGACTTAGCCTTTAAATTAGGGAAAACTGAATCAAATATTTGCTTATTGGTCTGTCTGTATTCTTGAGTATCTTCAGTTCTTTTCTACTGAAGATGTTCCAAAGTGCTCAGTGAGAGTATACCAGCAGGGTGGACACAGCTGTGTGCAAAAGGGTAGAAGAAACCTGACTGGATTTCAGACTAGAGGTGTCTGTCCTTGAAAGCCATAGACAGATTACAGAGGGAGAGAAAGCAAAGGTAATTAGGTTGAAGGTTTATTATTGCCTAAGTTCATACACAGTAAAACTCCACCTAGAAAGACAAGGCATTAGCTTAACCAAACATCTAAAAATCTCCTCTGAATGACTGACTTGGGTTAAACTTGTTAGCTAGATGAGGCTAATGCAGTATCAGCCAGGGGTGAGAGCAGCGGTATTAAGAGTCTGTGTCCTGATTACAAGGTGAGACTGCAGGCTACCAGATACTGGAAGTCAAATTTTGCTCCTGCATGCTGCCAAGTCTTTTCATCCATCTTCATAAAAAAGGCAGTGGTATCGAATTGATATTGAACTGATCCTAAGGATTTAGTTCAGTTCAAAAAAACCACTCCCTCTCTCCTAAAGACAGAAGTGCTGGTTTACACATACAGAGATACTGACAGTGGTTTGACACTTTCATATTCAAATTGGAGTTCTAGGAAGGTAGGAATGCTTTGCTGTGATGCACACAACATCCTATGTGGCAGATGCTGCCTTTGTTTCAGGGCATGAAATTGGCAATTCTGGCAGTTTTGCTATATGGATGCAAAAGTGGGCACTTCAGACGGGAATCATTTAAGCTTTGAATGTCTGACTCGTAAGAAGATAATACAGCATGCTCGGATACTGATGTTTATAAATGGTATGAAGCATGGTGTTTTTATTAGTCCTCTAAAATGCAACTAAAAATTTTCTGATTGAAAATGAGAGGAGATGGTCAGTAGGTAGGAAGATGGCTCGAGACAAGACCTAAAGCAATGGTTGGAGTGTTGCTGTTGGCACTTGCTAAGAAAGGTGGCACAAAGCAGAAGTGGAGAAATGTGGTAAAAGAAGTAAAGAATGGAAACAGCTTATCCATCGAACGAGTTTATCCAGCTGGTAACTCGACAACAATCTGGCACCCATAATATTAAACATCACACAAATGGGAAGTGGATTTTCAAGTATTTCAGAATTAAGAGGCCATCTAGCATCAAAAGGATACAATGAATTTATATATACTTATATATACACACTTTCTACAAACTTATTATAAATGACCATAGTTATTGATCATAGAGTACAGTCAAACCTCTTCACTTTATAGCTGTTCAGTCTACGTGTACTGGAGTTATAAGCAAGAATAACTTGAAGAAACAAGAGTTTATAAAATTTCTTTATAAGAGGACTTTTATTTAACAGTAAATTAGGCTGATAGGAGCAATGAATTCCAGTACTAACAGAGCCAAGTACCTGGTGTGTTCATGACTTGACTTCAGCTTCTTCCACTTCAGGTAGTGTATCCCAAACTGGTTTCTTAATGTGTTCAGGTATTCTCTCTATCTTAGTCTAAAAGGAAAGCAAAACAACCATTTATTACACCAACTAGCTAACATCTAACTACTTTGCTTTATTTACTCGTTTGAGATATGACTCAGATTAAAAATGCCACCTAGTGGCACTTCCAAGCAATACAGCCTTTTTACTGTGTAATACTTTTGAAAAACGTTCCTTCCAAATTACACCCATTTCCTCGGCTGACCTTCTAAATATTTCAGTAGTTACTGGTATTTGCATAAGGACTAAAGTCTCATAAATTATTAAATTAATAATGTGGTGCGGAAACTTACCTTTTTTACTTCCATGGCAACCCCTTCAGGTAAGTTTCGTTGCACATACTCCAAGTAAACTGCAGCAGTACTGCTTGTTAGGTATTTTAACTAAAACAGAAGTAATGTTTTCTAATTAACTACTATTACTAATATGTCAAACAGAAAAAGACACCAAACCCAAAAGTTCGTTTAAGCTTCTTTTTAGCTCCTGTTATGGGGCCAAACATAAGAAAGGCAGTTTCCATGATACTGAACAGAGCTGGTTGTTGATCTGTACTCAACTCTCACGCAAGTATAAAGTAGTTACGTCCCTCCACAGAACTGCACATGCTGCCTGGGATCACAGGCACTGATTATGATGGAAGTGGTCACCTTAACACGGCAGGTATCAGGTGAAATTAATTACAGGTTATTGTAAATCCTGCAACTCCAGAGTTCCACTAATTTTTTAGTTTCTCCTGGTTCCACTGAATTACTGATGTTTTAGTTTTTCCTGGAAGGCAAATGTTGTGCTTATGGTCTGTGAGCAGCCATTTGTACTACACTAATGTCTGGGGACTTCAAGTCTCATTTTGGTAAGCACTGTGCAAATGTACAGTAAGACACCCAGGAGCCACAAAATGCTGGCAGTAAACCTTTCTTCTAAGAAAGTCAACCACAGCTGCATTCTAAGCCATACAAATGTCTGTGTCATTGGCCACAGAACTTGTGGTTTGTCTATGCTTCCTTTCTTGCATTTCCTCCATGTACTTTTAGTTTGCCACATGATGCTGCATAGGGCAAAAGTATGTCTGTTCAAAAACATCAAACAAACTCACAGAGAACAGAACCCTTAGCGATTGGCAACAACAATGATTTAGATGTATCTTCCTCCCTTCCTGAGAAAGCTTCCATCCCACTGACTTTTCATAACACACATGAAGATAACCCTCAATTCTACCTTATTCTTTTAGTCACCCTTTCAGCTCTTAAGAAGATAGTCAAAACCAGCCTTTTAGTCCAAAAATTACATAGGCTGTGCATTCAGAATAACTTGTGTTACATTTGATGTACCTAAGTCAGCTGCTTTCCGATGTTCCCCTACACTCTCCTCCCCAACCCAAGTAAACAGGAAATTTGTTTTCACTTTTGAACTAACATCTAGTAACATCTTTGAATCGTGCACCCAGAACGCTTTTTTTTCCTTCTTTCTTACCTCCAAACACATGTAATGTGTTCTCATTTCATACTGAACTCGATGCTTCTTGTAAATATGTACAGACTTGAGAAGTGTAAATCGTTCTATCGTCTTTGGAGGTTTATCTCTGAACAAAGAAAAAGACAATTTCATGTTATATAAAGGATGATAATACAAGTTTATCTCAAAGATTACGCTGGAATCCCTGTTCTTATTTGACATTTACAAGATCTTCAAGGAAATATGAAACACTGTGGTATAGTTTGTTATTATAACTTACATGGGCATGATTAACACTCAGGTATTAAACCAGCATTAGCTCAGGGAACCTACAGCACTGACAGCTGTATTTAGAGTACTGTCAATATCCTTCATGTAGTCCACTACAGCAGTGCTGAGTGCAGATCTGCTGCTGCTTTCTTACCACTGTACTGCCATCTAAGAAGCGTCAGATTTATTATCTGAGAAAAAACTGTAAGATTCATCCATTTCTTAAAAAAAAAAAAAGAGAAAATAATACTTCTAAGCACAGAACGTGAATTACAGTAGATGACATAAGAAGCATCTGACACCACGTCACTCTACAGATCAGTTACTTACACTTTTTCAATAGAGATGCCAAGTTCTTTAGCTGCAAGCACTGCAAAATATTCATAGCTGTCCAACACAGCTTTATCGTGACCTTTAACTAAAATGGACAATCTCTTGTACAGTGTTTCTGGCTCATCTGAAATAGATACCTGCATTTTTAAAAAAGGACAAGAGTTACCACTGTATGTTCTCCTTAATTAATGCTCCCACTGCCTGTTTCCTTAACCTGTGTGCCCCATTTGTAAAAGAGGAAAAACATCCTGCAACCTGTTCAGCTGCTTATTTATCTAACAGAGGCTGACTGTATTACCTTGATTGGCAGGTCTCGCTCTTATCAGGGAAAGCAAAGTGTGAGAGAGATAGCTAACTTCTGAACATTTAGGTAAAATTTCTTCATCCAAAAAGGAATGCCAGACAAATATAAGGAGGACAACGCTAGCAAAGCCAAGAATGAAATTCATTGTTAAAGCAGGTCTGGAGCAGCAGTATTTGTATTTTAAATAGCAGTGAGAGAATACCCCAAATACTTAAAAGTTTGCTTGGGTATGAAAAGTAACCAGAACATTATGGTCAACCACCAGAATTCTCACTTTACTAAGTTAGTTATAGGACTACCTTAAACATAGCAGGCTTCCCAAGGTGTATTATCCTTTATGTTTGTGCAAATACAAGTTTATGATTTTCAATTAGAACTTCGATTTCTGATGGCCTGGGCTCACTCATCATCTGAAGAGCCTTGATGTATCTAGAAGTACTGATTTTCCCACAGGTTTACTCCTAGGCAGTTTAGTAAATCCAGCCACATGCCAGACACAGCAGGAAGGCTGAGGTCAGCACTGTAGATCTAATGCTGCCTGTCAGATGTTTCTGAAGCCCTGGACAAAAGGCTACTAAGCTGCCACAGGTGCTGAACTGAAGCTGGTATTTCATAGAGTTATGGCTGCATACAGAAAGCAGAAAGTGACTAAGTGGGAACTGTGAGCTAAAGAATCTTGCCTAAAAAAACCTCAAAAGATCTCAAATGCCAGTAATCTAAATTATTTCTTTCTCTATGACAAATTTAACATCATTAAGACAGAACTTTAAAAACCTGTAAGAAAGGAATTCAAGTTTTTCTGTATGTTCTCTTCATAACTAAAACAATGTACAAAACACTGTGCTACAAAACACTTACCAAAGGATTGGTCTTAGGCTCCTGTGTATCAACATGGGATCCAGCCAGCCGTGCTCCCATCAAGTTGGAGCTTCTAGAAACACAAGGGGAAAAGCATAAAATAATTTGTTAAAGATGGAGTTATTTTTTTTTTAGGGACTACGGAGGAGCAGTGAAAGAAGGAGGGTCCTTTATACTTACGGAAGAAAATACTGCTTTTGCATAATTCTGCTTGCATAACTGACAGGAAAAGTTGATCCCTGTATAAGACAAATAAGTTATGCTGTGGGTTTTTCCCCCCAAACCAGAAAGTAGTCAGTTAATACAGGTTTATTAAAAATTACTTTTTTTGTACACCAAAGCACAGCACATTCCTAAGCACTGATCTGGCAAAGTATGACATCTGCTCCATTGGAAAACACAGGAAAACAGGACCATGGAAATAAATTTCAGTATACAATAGCACCTAAAAAAGGAACACATTAAAGGCACAATAACAGTACGCACTTACTAATGAGGCACCTGAATAGCAACCACAAAGCATATTTTTAACAGAAGAATGTATTTTTTTGTGGCATCAGATGTCATTTCTGTGTATGTTTTACTTTCATAGTAGAATATATATTAGTTTTGTCAAGTGACAAGCCTAAGTAGGACTTGTAAAAGCAATTGAAACCAGTATTCTAAAATGCAAAAATTCAACTTCTGAATTTAACTGGAAATTTTCCGTTTTTTTCAGAAAAAAAGCTCCTTGTGATTTTGAACACTTGCTCTTCTGAAGAGAACATTTAAACAGAAATCCTTCTTACAAGTTAATGAGTCATATTTAAAAGATAACGTGATTTTTCTGTTTTAAAAAGGTAATACAGTTGTTAATCAAGATGTAACATTGCTATTTTTCATACTAGAATAACTGTTCCCTTCTGAACATTATGTGGCTTCTAGCTTCCTTCCACTAATTCTTCATTTGACAAAGTTACAGGCTACTGGGGAGGGAAGGGGGCAGGACGGAACTTTCACTTGCCTAACAGAGCCTCAGGGCTGCAGCAGAATGCTGAAGCCAAATTATCTTCTTATCCTGCCCCTTGATACTCTTTTTTAAGAGGTGCTGGAGTCATAAAGAGAGAAGACAGATACCCTACTCAAGAGTTATACAGGCAACTGTCTAATCAAAACATCAGAAAACAGCCAGAATTTACACTTTTCTAGGTAATCTTTCTGTAGTTGCTCGTGGATATGCATAACTGACTACATGATGCTACTAGGTCCCTAACCTTTTCTAGCATGCAGTATACACTCATTAGACATTAGCAGTGAATGAAGCTGTTTTCTGAAGTAATTCTGCCTCAGTCGCCACTTATCCTACAAATGCTGCTTCCAATAAGGAAGATGACTGCAGGAAGAGGTAGGACAGATTCCTGTTTACAAAGGTGACTGTTGTACAAATGCCTCCCCTTAGGCAACCCTTTCAAATCCAGATGTTCACAGAGAGCCACTGGTGTTACATTCTTTCAATGCATGTCACAATAAGCAACTTCAGGAGCACTGAATATTTGCCACTGTAGTTGATAATCATTCATAATGTTTCAAAGTTTTTATGTTGGGAACTACTTGAGCCTTAATACCTGGAACTACTGAAATACATCTGATAATTCTCTAATGACATCTAATAAAATAGAGGGACTCTTTACAAGAGCGTGTAGTGACAGGACAAGGGAGAATGGCTTCAAACTGAAAGAGGGTAGGTGTAGATTAGATATTAGAGAAAATTTCTTTTCTGTGAGGGTGGTGAGACACTGGAACAGGTTGCCCAGAGAAGCTGTGGCTGCCCCATCCCTGGAAGTGTTGAAGGCTAGGGTGGATGTGGCTTTGAGCAACCTGGTCTAATGGAAGGTGTCCCTGCCCATGGCAGGGGGTTGGAACTAGATAGTCTTTAAGGTCCCTTTCAACCCAGATCGTTCTGTGATAAAATTATGTTGATACTTGCATGTCAATTCTGTATCTCTGAAGTCCAAACAGTGCCTCCCTTCCATTCAACAGCAATATGAAACACAATAACCATCACCTGACATCACTTCAGGAAGCAGACAGGCCTATAAGCATAGAAGATTCTATTCAGTGCAGCGCTTAAACTGTGTGTGCAAGTACATGGCACAGACCTCAGATGACAAATGTAAGACTACTGACTGTAATCATAACTAACTTTTTTATCTGTTTTATTTTTTGTGTGTATGCAGTCTCTGTTATGTATTCTTTTACTTCTGACTGCTTCACCTTGTAATAACGGATTAATTATTTGCATACAAAGATATGTGCACTCAAAGCATACTGTGCTATATGGTTTTGGATACAAAAAATTCCGTCTTCATGTAATAAAGATGAATCAAACAAAACATGATGAAGCAGTAGAGTCCTATCCCACAAGCTAAGCTCTCCAGCCTATCCAATAGTCTATGACTGTGCATGTTATTCCCACCACGTGCCATCTCCCTTTGTTACTAATTACACAGGTATGCATCATGTCTAAAATTAAAGGTGCTCTGGGCAAATTTTGACAAACTGATACACTGAATACCTCAGGTAGTAAAGATGGTGTTCAGCAGGCAGGAAAGTGCACTTTAACAACTTCATTCTCTGATTTAAATACATTTGATGTGCTCTCGCTAATGGCCATCATAGAAGGTGGAAAAGACACTCAAAGTCTGCAGAATTCAATTTCCTGTGTGAACCAAGACCTTGTACAAAACATAATTACACCTCTCCTAGCGCAAAATAGCCTTAACTTTGCTTGGCTGAGAGATTCTGAAGTATTCAGGGGGAGACAGAAGCCTGCAAGCCAAGCAAGTCCAGAATACAGTGCATATATAGAAGTGAATTTAAGCTTCAGAAAATGAATAGTAAACACCCAACATCGAATCTTCTCAATTTAAGAGAAAGCAATCACTCTTTAGAAGTCAAAACCAGCAAGAAACATCGGCAGTGCAAAACATCTCCCTATTTTTTAACATTTTAACTTCCAAGATTTGAAACTTTTAAGACAAGAAATTGGCTTGGCACAGGACCTCCAAACCCAAGAGATCTATTCCTCACCATCCCTTACACCCAGAATAACTGTTGGGAAAAAAAAAAAAACACAAACAGAACTGCAGGCAAGAGTTCTGAGGACCCATTAGGCGACGATGGCGTGCAGAGACACGGCCCCACGCTGTACAACCCCAACCCTCCCGCAGCCCAAAGGATAACATTTGCCATGTCCCCTTTTCCCACTCCCCTCAGGAATGAAGATGCCAAGGGAAAGGACAAGGAGGAGGAGAACGGGGCTCCCCCGTCCCCTCTCCCGCCACACGCCGCACCTGACAGAGCCGCCGCCACAGGCACCCGGCCGCCATCTTGTCTCCGCCCCGACCCGCCCCCCATCGCCCGGAAGGAGAAGCCCGGCCTCACGCACCACCCCCTTCCCGCAAGGAAAAGGCTCTGGCGACAGAGCAGCGCTCCGGGGCGGGGAGGCGAGTTGGGAGCTCGTTTGGCGCCACGCGAGCTTCTGATTCGTCTCCCCGCCCCCGTCCCCGCCTCCCCCAGGCGCTGCCTCAGGGAACGACCGGCGGTGGAGCAGCTTCCCCTCAGCCGCTTCCCGCCAGCGGTGGCCCCGGTCCCCTCGCAGACACTGCCCGTCCTGTTCTCCAGGAATCCTTTGAAAAACCGACTACATGAACCTTAGTTTTCAACCTTTTCCCCTCCCTCTTAGAAATAGTTAAAAAAGGTATACAAGCCCGTTAGAGCAAAACCCAGCTAACTATATTTTACCGAAGTATTAAAATTACTGGAAATGGCACAGAAACCCCTTTCTGTTAATAATATAACACAGGTTCTGATTGGTACCAAATATTTAGGGGGAGCGGGGAATAAACAAGTACTAATTCACTCCACTAAACCATCCTTAAATACACACAACCAGATAGGCATTAACCTGAAATTTAGCTTTGTGCAAGTCAAATGCCAGGAGCAGGAACCTGAAACCAGCATAGATCACAAGTTATATCAAATGTATATTTTTTTTATTTTGTTACTTCCTGTGCCACCTAAAATTACAGTTGGCTTTTTACACTAAAGCACCTAAAATATTTACACAACCATCTTCTAATAAAATAACAGTTAAATATTGAAAATAAGATTTTTCTCATAAAATATGCTTTCTGTATGTACAGGTTTTATCAAAGAGGACTAGGTCCAATATTGAACAGTCTTCCATCATCAACCATCAGCAAGAAAACAAGTTTTCTGAAATAAAACTATGTCCAACTTGTACAAATAGGCAGAACAGCATCTGTTTAACAACAGCCAATGCAACACTTAATAATGATGAAGTCAATGTTTGAGGCCTAAACCATGTACTGCTTAGGAAATGTACATTTCTTTTTTTTTCCTTTATGAATAACTTCTTTGGTTATCATTGTTCTGCTATCTTTTTGGCTGTACAGCATCTGATTAATGTTACAGAACCAGGCATATATATGTGTGTGTGTATATATATATTTATAGATAAGTTTAGCACAGATCCTGTCCAACTGTTCCACTGTAGATACTTTAATAAAGAGCTGTTCTTCAGAATCAAGCCCATAAGTTTCTACTGTATTTCACGCTGTTCTTCAATCAGAATTCTGACTTCAAATATAATTTTGCTTAAACACACACTTTTTTCCCCACCATTAACAAGAGAATCTGAAAACACATCCATTTTCCAGTGTAGCAGCCTTTCTCAGAAAGATCCTTAGAAGTTCAAAATGATACAAGTTTGGGAGAGGGAGAGGACATTCTGCTGGGCTGTTTCTAACACAGGCTCCTAAGAGCCAACACATTACTGCTCACAAAACCCTCCACTTTGCAAACCATGAAGACTTTACAACCTATGAGACTTCTTGTCAGTGGATCTAGCTGGTGGCACACAGCTGAGCACCCAGTGCACTGAGCCTGGGTTGCATATGGTCCCTGTAAAAGTAACACATCACAGCACAGAACTGCTGGGGAGTGTCTGACTGACAGTTCAAGGAAGAAAGAAAAGCTGCCTGATTTCCTGAAACTCAAGGGTACACTAACTGAGAATGTCATCCCTTATGTGGTAGCGGGAGTGAAATTTCACCCAATGATCAAAACCAACTCAAAGAACCTCTGGAACAACCCCCAAAACACTAAAAAAAACCATTTACATAGGAACTTCATTAATGAGAAACTGAGAAGTTATTCTCATTCTCCTAAAGAGTTGTTCTTTAGCATCGGAGCATTTGGCCTTAAGTAGAAACTTGAGGTCGTTTGGCTTCACATATTTGGCCCTGACAGAGAAGGTACCTCTCTCTGCCAGTGGGTCCCATTGTTCTTGAACTTGTGTGGTCCAGTACTCCTATAAAAGTCCATAATTTGCTCTCATTTTGCATAGTTAAACAAGGAAGAAAGACAGTAGAAAATAAGACCTACCATCTCTCAGATTCTGCTAAAGGTATTAGGAATGTGGCAAAAAAAACCCAATAAAACAAAACCCAACCCATAAAAAAACCCCAAACGATGCTAAAACCTGGAAGATCTGAAATCAGTCTTATAAAATATTTTATAAAGTTAGCAATACTCCTCTACTGTGCAAAATTCACAAGAAAATCAGTGCTGCTACCTGTGAAAGCTCTACAATCAGCATTCATACTCTGGAATTAAAGGTCCACTCAACCTAACTCCAATTCTTCCTCAATTCTTTTATTCTCCAAGGTACGATTCTTTTGATATCCTATTTACTCAGAGAACCAAATCTAAATTTATATAAATGCTGTCAGGCATCACCAGGTAGATCTGAACCTAAGGGAGGAGAAATGGTAATTAAACAGCAACATCAACTCACCTTTGCAGTATGTTTTACTGAATAAACAATATTTGAATTTGTTGTAATGAGGACTGAAAATGGCACAAGATTAACATGTTATACCTGGAATTAATAACTAAATACGTGCTGAAGGCATATACTCCATCAGTCTCTGTTCCATGGGCAAGAATCCTGCACTGCTCAAGCACAGACTCCTCTAAAACCACTGAGATGGCTATTCCACAGTGTGATTTATTGTCACAGCACAGTATTTTCAGTGCAATCTGATTACCAAGGCAGTTCCTGATTCAGTGTTCCCATCAGATGATGTGAACCACAGTACAATCATTTTCTTTCTTCAGTCCTTGAATTAGGTCATTTTAAAATCAGAAGATCAAAACCTTGCTAAAATGGAAGGTCTAAAATGTCCTCTGTAAACAAGACAGAACTGAAAATGTACTGCAATTACAGATGATGCAGTCACTCCTGTAACTATTTCACAGTTAAATCAGATTTTTTCCCCCTCCATCTCCCTTAAAATGACAGCATAAAGAATGTAATCATATCTTTAAGAGAGATGACATTTAGTCTCTAGAAGATGCTGGAAATGATCCAATATAGGCAAAAAAAAATGTTTCATCAGAAGTGTGTGAAGTTTATTCTTGCAATTGGGGTAAAATGAAACTTGGAAGAGTTAAAGACTTAAAGATTCTACTGGGACCATCTGGAGGGAACTGACAGCAGAACCACAAACTTCTGTAATTAGTGGCCCTGGAAGTTATCAGCAAGAAGAGCTCAGATAAAAACACCTTATAAGAATATTTGTACCAATTATTTATTTCTTCCCCCAAAACACAATTTAATAAAAAAAAAGGGAAAAAAGCAGATTTTTTTTTTCGAGACCTGGATAAAAGAATTATCATTTTCAACAGGTAGTTTACAATCAGTGGGGAATAAACAAGCAGTCCAGGTTTCCTGATTGATCCATTCAGGGTGTGCTCAGTAGCTGTCTATCAAACAACTTTATTTACAACTCAGCATCATCCTGCAGTAGATCTGGATCTTCATCATCCAATAAAAGGTCAGCATCCATGACTTCGTTCTCTTCCATGACATCACCCAGATCCGGAACAACATCGTCATCAATGTCACCAACATTTTCAACATGTTTAACCAAACCCATGTGATCCAGGGGGATCAAACTATGCCCAGCTGGCCCAGTAGTTCTTGCAATAGTGGCTGCCATTTCTGCTGCCACAGCAGCTTTCTGAGCCTTCTGCCTTTGCTGTTCTTCTTGTTGTCTGTGAGTCTTCATATGAGCATTGCGGCTTTTGATTTTGAAAAATACCCTAAATTGTAAAAGAAAAAAAGAAATCAGATAAAAATGCGTTGCTTTTGATGAAGTGAGCCAAAAAAGACTCAACAACCTATCAGTACATTTGCTTCCTTGTCCTGAAATAGAAGTCAGTGAAGTCTGCAATGCCATGGTGCGAATTTCAGGGACAGACTACCAGATTTATACATCCTGATGGTATCAAAATGGCCTGCTCTGACTCTGCCAGAGGTAGTTTGTAACTCCCACACTTACTTCAGTATCCATGCACAGCCTAATCCTCCCTGTATTGGTTTTACAACAATCCTGCACAGGATGGAAAAAGTGAAGGAATACCACATGAGGATGGACAATGCACAGCAACACAGAGAAAGCTGCGCACTGTCACATCCAAGCCTGTGATGAAGCAGAAAGCTGGACTGTCAGATATACAAACTCTAGCAGATAAATGGATTCACGAAAATAGGAGGAAATACTGCAGGGGTATCACATCCAAAATGTCATGCAAACCCATCTCTGATAGTTTTGGTAAGAGGACTTTATCATCTAGGGGGAGAACTTCTTTTGAGACCATCAGAGTGAAATAAAGGGTTTGTTCACAGCACTATTGATCTGGAATCTAAACAGGCAAATGTGATGCAATACTGCAGACACTCATATACACTTACTTGCCACACTCCTTGCAAGGAAAAATTGTTGTTGGGTCGGTCTCACCGCTTGTTGTGCTGTGGGCAGGTGAACTCTTGATGGAGCAGTATCCGCTCTGCGTACCAGATTTCTGCTTAGTGCCTGGAATGGTGCATTGTGTTTTCGTCACCTGATTCGTACCTCCATGAATGCGAGCATGGCCATTTAGGGCTTGTCGGGAACTGAACACCTGACGGGGGGTTGTTGGGCGGAGGGAAGAAAAGAAAAACCAACAAAAAAATAAACCCCGAGAATCACAAGACAATACTGGAACAGAAACTGCAGAAAGCAGGATGCTGAATGCATATCACAACAACCGTACACATCTAATATGCACGATCCCACTAAAGAAACGTAGTCATAATAAAACAAAGCAGTGAGCTATCCTATTATTTCAGTTGTGTAACGTAATTGGAGCTGTTACCATATAGTAATTCTAACTGATGTATCATCTCAGGATTCAATTTTCTGTACAGATCAAACTGCTTATATTTGGTGAGGTGGGAATTAAAAGTCAAGAATTAAAAGCAGTCAAAATATTTGTAATATCTTTGTAATACAGAGATATTCAGGAGATA